AGACAGACAGACAGTGGGGGAAATAAGTATTTGACCCCTTGCTGATTTAGCAGGTTTGCCCACTTACAAAGAATGCTCATTTTTCCTCATCAGATGGTTATCAATTTTTATAAATTCATATGATGTGATTTGACTCCGACCCTCTTCCGTGTAGACCAAATCTTTTCTAGTTACCAAATAAATACTGTTGTGACACTATTGGTTATTTCCGTCATAAAGCACCAAATGAACCAACAAACAAAGCAGACAATGCTTTAGTTTAATCATTTGCTTTTATTTAAAACTATTCAAAGAAATTATAGAACCTCAAAAACAAACCATTTAATCTAGTTCAAATACAGCAAGCATTGTCAACACATTGCAGGATTTGTGGTTTCATCACAGTCCTTGTCTCCAAGTTGGAACAGCTCTGCAGCAAAATAAAAACACACAAATACATATATAAATGACAGAAAACAATTCTTTAAACCAGGAGTGGAGAAAAGCTTTGAGGATCAGACCTGCGAAACATCTGCAGCATGGGTCCTTGTCCAGACGGGCCTATGTGTTTCATCCGCTCCTCCCATCCTTTGGTGGGGCGGATGAGTCTGGACGGGTCTCTGTTTACGTTACCGTCCACCTGTACGAGTAAAGAAAAATCCACATTTCACTAAAGCTATAAGTCTGTTTAAAGAAGATGTTGAACACCATAAAGGTTGTGAATATTTTGTATTTTTGACACGGATCATTGTACTGATTACCTTCTCCTTCATTTTGGCAGCTATTCTCTTCTGTCTCTCTTCTTCCTCTTTTTCCTTTAACTGCCTTTCATGAAACTTTGCCTCCACCTTGTGAAGATCCTGCAGTGGTACAGTTAAGCCTCATATTTATAATGCATGGCACTACAACCTCATCTGTGGGCAAACTGCTCTCTGTAAAATAAGCTAATATTTAATACCTGAAGTGTAATAAGTTATAGAACTTCAGTGAAAAACATCTGATTTTGTCTTAGGAGACTTGTTTTCTTTTCATTATTCGTACCCTTTCATGGAGGTGTTTTATGATCTTTGCTGCCTCCCTTTGCCTCTCCTCCGTTTGCTTCTGATCCTCCTCTCTCCTCCTCCTCTCTTCCTCCTCCTCTTCCTCTCTCCTCAGACGTAGCTGCTCTTCTAAAACCAGCTTCACTTCTAGCTGGCGGCGACGCTCTTCCTGTTGTTAAAGATGGTAGAGGACAATCTGTTAAAGTCATCAATTAAAAAAAATAGTTTTTTAAAATGATAGCAACATGACAGAAGGAAAGCACCTTCTCTCGTCTCCTCTTTTGTATCTCCTCAGTCAGTCTCTGTTCTTCCTCCTGTTCCTCCTTTCTTCTCTTCTCTTCCCTCCAATCCTCCAGCTGCTGTGCTGCCTGCTTCCTCTCCTTATTAGTCCTTAAACAAAAAAAGAAAAAAGCACTAAGAATATATAAAAAGTGATTATCAATCTTTTAGGTTGACCCTTTAAACCTTTTTGGAGCACATCAGACTAAAAAGGGCTTTTTACTCCACGTCAGGCTGACCTGTGCAGTTTGTCATGGCTCTTAGCCTCCCTCTCCCTCCTATGAGCCTCTTCTATCTCCATCTGACTTTGTATCTTGTTCTGACGTTCTTTTTGTTTGCTTGCTTTCCAACGCACAATAGCCTGGGGGGGTGGGATGTACAACAAATAGTTAAAATACAGATAAAGAATAGAAACAAAACAAAACCTTTTTTTGTCATAAAGTCATTTTTTGAAGTTATTCTTCTATATTTCTGTGTAAAAAGGAAAAGAAAAAAACACACTGACTCAGCACGAACACTTCACTCAACATTATCTGCAACTCGTTTATCAAAAGATTGTTTCAAAGTATCATCAAGCATTATATTTCTAAATGCATGTGTGTGTGGGCACAAATCTAAAGAGGAATATTTAAACAGAAGTCAATTAAACAACAATTCTTATTGACAACCCATCAATCCTATATCTATGTGGGATATGGGAGCAGCTCCTTTTCAGCCCTCACTTCACAGTTTACAAGCTCATACTTGATCGGTTTCAGCACGGCTCCTCACCTCTCTCTTTTTGTCCTGTAGGTCCAGCAGCTCCTGATGCCACTGCTGGTGCTGCTCGATGTCCTCCAAAGTTTTACCTGGCAGATACAGCTTGGCTTCTTTTCTGAAGGCTGGCTGTCCACCGTGCTTTGTCCAAACCTGTAAAACCCACACGTAAGTCAGTCAAAAATCATCATGTCACAAACCTTTGGCGTGGTTGATGCTGTTAGAGTGAAACATTTATTGTGTGTTTAAACAGTCAGAAACTGTTCAATTACATGTTAGTGTAATATGGTACAATAAAGAAGTTGGATAGAATGAAGACACGGTATTACTCTCAGGAAAGCCTGATGGTCATAGGGGTCCCAGCCTCCAGTAGAACCTCCTGTCTTCTGTAGGAAAACCTCCAGGGCTCTGACCTCTGCAGGAATGTCTCCATCATGTGACTTGGTCTTCCGAGAAAAACAAAAAAATCAATCTCCTCCCCTATCTTTATAGAGATACCTGGACAAAATGTAAATCCAGTCAGAGAAGACTAAAGACTAACAAACCTTGTGAGCGGAACCTGTGGGGAGTTTAGGATTAGGCTTGACAACAACGCTCCAGTTTTCAATCTTCTTCTCATAGGCACTGACCTCCTGCCCGCAGGTCTTCTCCTCCTTCAAATAGGTCTCAAAGCTAAGATAATAAAATTAGCCCAAAGAAGTGAGTTAATTCCCAGTGACAGTGTGGGGTTAACTCAACATTATGTGTTGGAGTGCACTTTTCTTTTTTTTTAGATCTCCAGAGACACTGGGTCTAAAATGTAGTTTTTACCATGTCCGCCGCTCTTCCTTTAAGGTGGTAATTGAGATTTCCACCTCAGACATGATCTCCTTCAGTCTTTCAATCACTAAAAATAAAATGTTCTCGTTAGACGAACGCTTGCAACTAAATTTATGTTGCACGTTTTTCATCTAACTTACACTTAGGAGTTGGTTTTACATCGGTCAGCTGCCTCTGAAATTTTCTCACACCATTATGAATCTTCCCCAGCTGCTTTTGAAGGTTCACCTCTGAAAAAAGGGTCTTATTAATAACATGTTAAATTACTACATGTAAGAGTGAACTGTGATTTACTGTGATTTATTGTGTTATTTTAGAGAGAAGCCTCATAACAGAGGGGAAGTAGATGTAACATAAGCATTCAATGCCCCATTTTGAAAGGGAGGATTCAGTGGGGATAAATATTTTGGAAAAAATAGGCCACAGAAAAGAAAGACTCACTCTCTATGCTTCTTTCAGTCTCTAACATTTTTTCATACTCCTCCAGGTCTTCGTACACATCCGTCCAGCCATTCTTCCTGCACTGAGCGCTCAGCGTCCTCTCTTTCTCCAACTTTTCAATCCTGTGAAAGGTGAAAAAATATAAATAAGGTGAGGTAATATGACTTGATGATAATTCTCTGAAATGCAGAGATATATTTTTTTATTCACCGTTTTCTTATTGACTGAATATTTGTCCAAATGTGAAGAATATACAATAATTGATAGTTACTCCATAGCTTCACATTGTGTTCCCGTTTACAGTGCAACACATACATCTCCCATCTCTTCCTCCTCAGTGTTGGGCCCTGACTTAAAGACGCCATGAAAACTACACTGTCTGCTTGAGCTGAAATGCAGCCCCTTAAACTTTTCGAATTACCTAGATCTGGATGAATGAGAATCTACATATATCTACATAGACATATATGCGTATTCCACCAATGAGTTCACTTACTGCCGTCTGTTTTTCTCGGCCTCTCGGAGAAAGTGCAGAACCTTTTGTCTATCCAGCCTCTGATCCACTCTGTTGATGCTGACAGGAGATGATCTACTGCCATGCTGGACACTGTACTCTCCATCCCCCTGATTAGAATAGTTTAGAGAAAGTTCAGCACAAAGCTCACGTCTGCATGTATTTAACTGCCCAACATTGAACGCAACACAGCAGGTCACTTGTAACTAACTCCGAGGCTCCCTTTGTTAACGTAAGCTAGCACTAACAGGTAACCGTTTATCTGTCGCACATTTGCCTCTATGCTTACATGAAGACTTTTTTAATGTCTAATACATAGTATATAACAATTCATTTGAATGAAAATGAAGAAAATGATTATGTGATAGCTACCGAGCACAGTCTATCGTCACATTGAGCGGTTGCTAGGGCGGCCATGTTTTATCGAGTGTGTAAACAAAGCAAAGTTTATCTGTAAAAAGGTCTCGCTTGTTCAGTTCTTCGGTGGTTATTGGTTTGTGCCAGCAGAGGACGCTGCCTGCCTTTGAGGCGTTTTAATAAATGAACCCCTTTGTCGGGTGAATCATGTCTGTTGAAAGGTAGCTGCTGTCCAAGCCGCCATCAGGCGACTTTAAGGGAGACAAACCTCACGTAACCAGGATACAGTAACTATGACAACAGACAGATTTAGTTTCCATCTAACTGGGAGGGTATCTCAAAATTTTTCTAGATGAACAGGGATTACATCTAAACCTTTCTGCACTGCTCACTTTGGATTTGATTCAAAGTAACACATCCATCCATTTTCTGAACGCCTTATTCCCAGGGGGGGGGGGGGGGGGGGGGGGGGGGGGGACTGGATCCTGTCCCAGTGGTCAGTGGGCGAGAGGCGGGGTACACCCGGCCTGGATGGTCCTCCAGTCCATGCAGGGCCAATTCAAACACAGGTAAAACTTCAAACTGTAGTTTTGAAGTATAATTTAGAGTGAAGTGACAGTGTGTGGTGAGACAGTTATGGGTGTTTAAGATGTTTTAGTTTCCATAGAAATGATCTCAAGATGCAAACAGGGAAACATCTGTGGAAACCGAGCCAAAAATGTCCAATTTGAAAGGTTACCCTGAGGTTACCCTGAGCCCTGAGAGACTAGTGGATGTTTCCTGGGGTTCAAAGTGCATTCTGAGCTTACGTAAGTCTCCGACTCACTGTCAGTAGAACAGGTCTACAGCAGTTTTTCACTCCTCTTTCCTGCTCACTATGTCTTCACAGCCTATTTATAAAATATTTATTCATTTGAATTGGGATGGACAAATATCCACACACTGATCTAATTTCACTATACATCAACAAACACGGCGCTGCTCAACTTTAAATCTGTCTTTTTATTCTAAGCATCCCCTTTCTCAACTCAAATTGGAAATTCTTCTTGAGAAAACCACAAGAAATAACTGAAAATTCCAGAATGGGGCTAAAAATAACAGTCATGGGCCCATTTCTATGTTAATTGATCTCTCCTCCTACTTAAGAGCACGACCTCAGAGTCCTCAGCCTTACCCACATGTTTGGACAGAACCAGCTCCTAAATCACTTGATTTTAATTTTCTTTTGCAGCCCAGGTCCTAAGGAAGGCTACAGAAATATCTGACGGCTCTTCAATATAACGAGAGGGTTAGAGTTACCTACGCAACTCACTCTCTCAGATAACTGCTTATGCGTTCTACAGAGGCCTCAGTTATTTCTGTAACAGCTTTTTCATGATGGCCAACAGCTATAATTATTATGAGAGCTGGCAAAGTGACAGCGAGAGAGAAAAAAGGGATGAGAGAAAGAAAGAGTTGAAGGAGTATTAATAGCAACCTGAATCCATTATTGAGCTCAGATATTGGGGATGGTCTCTCCCATGGGTGCAGGGACAGAGTTGTCTCTGCAGCATTAATAGCAACTGCTCTATTTATTGAAGAGTGTTACAATTTCCTGTCTCCTCCTCAGTCAAGAGACTCAATTACTATGATTAAAGAGACGATCAGATCAGCTTCAGCTGGCTGCTACAACAAATAAGACAACAACAAAGATACAGTCAGAGATTTCAAGACCAGGTGGGGTTTACATTCGGGTAAGAAATACATATGTGACTGACATGTGGTTTAGACAAGCTATGAAATGACTTCTTTTTTGGGGGGTAAGGAAGGCTTTGAAACCTGTTTGCCAGTCTTTCCTGCCACTTCTTGCTCTCTTTCTTGCAGGTCAGTGTAATCAGCTGTCAACAGCTGACTTAAATCAACAGGTGGCTGACTTCTGTCTTCCAGGGTTCTCAGCTCCCTCACTCTGAATCAACCGCTGTCTGTCACAAGTAAAAGTCACATCTTTTCATTTCGTTTTCAGATCCAGTAATAAAAAGATAGAAACAGACTATTCAAAATGTCCAAGTTCAGATGGATCTGCTATAAGGACGGTATTACATCTCGTATTAGTATTAGTTCATTCAGTTATGAACGTACTGTAATTGCAGGTCAATACAATCTCCGAGAAAAGTGAGTTAATTCAAAGGTTTTTCTCATAAGAGTTGAAGTTTCCTTCATTAAGATTTATTCTAACCATGTCTTGAGATATTTCAGAAAATGACACACACTTCATTCAGTTGTTGTGTAAACTGTGTCCTTATGGGTTCAGTCAAGAGGGGGATAGTGGCAAGACGAAAAGTAAAAAATACAGAGAGATGACCTTTGATCTCTCCCAAATGTAATGGGCTATTTGGAAATGTTATGAGATGTGATCGGTGCAAACTGAGAGCTTAGTTTTGCATTCATGGACGGTGGAGGTAGAATGTATATAGTTATTTATGTCGTCTGCCGTGGCGTTTATTGGCGGGTGTATGTCTCCAGTGGAAGCATGTGCGTTTTACTCCTCCTCTTATACCACCGTCAAGTGTGTTTACGTGTGCAAACCTTCGACCCTCCTGGCTGTCAGCCGATTGCTAAATGGTGTTTTCAGACAACACGCCGGCTTCAATGTGAACAAACACATAAACAGCCAGTAACGACCAAAATACCTTTCGCACACGAGCACACACACACACACACCTACACACACGCACACACACACACACACACACGTAGGAGACTGCATTAGCAGGTCTGCAGGTGCCTGGGTTTGAGTTCATCACCACAAATGGTTAACTCCATTTTGCCACTGAAGTGCTATATTAACCAGAAGCATTGTTTCTAGTGGAGCTGCTCATTATCAATGTTTTTTTTCCCCATAGCCTCCACGCGATCATACCCCCAGGTTCTGTTAAACAACTATGAGCCATATTTACTTATAGTTTTTAGGACAGGGTGTCAGCAGTTTCAAAAGGGCTCGGAGCATAGTTTTTGGTCCAGGAACTTCTCGATAAGCCTCTGTGGTGGTACACACCGGCGTACACATGCAGTCTGCTCTGACACCTGCTGCAGTGGAAGCTAGTGTTGCAAAGCAACACGATCCGCCTGCAACCTGGGCAACATGTTTAGCGTGTCAGACCCGCGGAGGCTGCTCGCCTGTGGGAACGCCGATGCCTTTATGGATGTGTACATGTCAGTAAATTATTGGGACGCCGAGGAGCTCGGTGGTGGAGGCCGAGGGGAAGGTGATCAGTCTAAGTGCTTTTCCTGCTGCCTCTGTGATATCAACACTTCTGCAAATCTAACTTTTAGCCCATCAAAGACCTCAAATTCATCACAGCTGTTTCGAATGTCGGAGTTTTATTCATGTCAATGCTTGCCTGCCAGTTACATTTCTCTCATAGTAGCACTTCTGCAGCCAGACTCTGTAAGAGCTAGAACATCCCAGGGGTGGCAGGAATAGCTCTGTGGACCTGAGGAGAGGCTTCTAATTGGAGCTTTGGTATTTCTTTTGGTATCTCTTGCAACTTAAGCAGCCATGAAACAGTTTCCTTTTCTTTTCTTTTTTCTTTTTTTTAACTTGAATCTATTTTCCTACAACACTTTCTATGGTTGCAGCCTTGGTTGACTTTGAAAGTTGATTTAGCCCAATTAGAAAGGGGTTATTTGAATCCTGTTAACTCCAGTGATTCCCTCCTTTGACCTTTCATTCAACACCCTTTGCAGGGCAAAGTTTCCGTTTGGCCAGCACCTCAGCTCAGACCGCATGACGTCAAAGTTGTCTGAGCTGCATAGTTAATGTGCTAAGTTTTACATTCTTTTTTTCAGTTAGTAGAATGATTACATTATGAATGAACACAAAATAGCAAATAAGTAACATTTTTGGCCCTGGAAAAAAATGCTTCTCTCAAAAACTGCCAGGGGACTTCCCTCTGTGGAGTCTCCCGAATTCCTGTCAAAGAGGAGTATTGTAAGAAGAAGAAGTTCGGTCATTATTTAGCCATCTTTGAAACTTGGTTTCATGTGATGGAGGGCAGTCGTTTCTCTACTTAAAGCTGTTGGTGTGTTCGTGCCACAACTCTAAGAAGAGTTTGAAAATGGTATCAGTTAACGAGTTCCCGCCCTTATTTGGTTTGTATCCTTAAACAAAGTGAACACACATTTGGGATGGAACTGCCATTACATTTCTTGCTGCATTATTTGATTTTGAAAATACAATAATGTACACCCAAGAAAGTTGGGAAGTCATTGACAAGCTTATCTTAAATTCTGGTTAATTCTAAACAGAATATCCAAAGTCTCCCAAGCTGAATTAGTAGTGTGATGCAACTCTTAATATCCATTTTAAGTAGACAAAAATGTGAAAATGTGGTAGGAAGTGGGTCACCCCTCCCAGAGATGAAGGTCCACTCCAGCTCTTACTAAAAGGATCCTTGACTCGGTGCACCATTTACTGTCACGGGATACTCAAAATCTGATTACCAGCAGCCAAGAGTGCAACAAGGTTGAAATTTCTAAGTAAGCTTCCCATACTCACAAAGAAGAATCTGTGCTTTTGCCAACTTAGTCTTGGGTCACAGAGACCCCGCAGAGAGAGAGCAAATGAAGACTCAGTGTTGAAGGCTGAGGGGGATGGCATCTTAATAACGACCCGTCCTCCATCATATGACTGCCATCGGTCCAACAGAGGCTATCGATATGGTAACTTCTTAAACCCTAACGATGAAGAACAGGTTTCAGCTCACTAAGCAAATTTATTATCAAAATCCAGATTTCAACCACTTTGAGGTTTTTAACTTAGAGCAGCCAAAATGTGTTGGCTAATCTCAACACAACTCGAGGTAACATGAGGAAGAAGGCAGCCTGTCTTGGTGTCTCAACAGCTACATCTTGAAATAGACAAGTGTGCCGAACAGTTTTGATGGATACATAAAATGAAGAACCATTTGCTCCAGAGAGGCTCGCACCCCCTGAACAAATACAGACGGTAAAGCAGTGCCACGTGAAAGGGTTTCCAATCCCAAAATACCCCCTCGCTGCGAGCACAGTTGATCACCCTCGCTTTTCTGCTAGTGGTAAGGCAAGCCACGTTTCAGGGAAACGCTCTCAGCAAATGTTACACCCCGAGCAACAGCCGGGCCCCTGCCAGCGGCTCTGCTACCCTCTGATTCACCGCCGGCTGCAGGAG